AACATCATATGTTCACATGCTGATGGTAGGATAGTGCGGGAGAGAACCTGACCAGGGTACCATTCGAAGATGGTGGCGTCATGTAGGAGAGCCACCAAATACCGGCTAATTTGAGTAGTGTAATCTGCCCGTAGCCTTAGTGTGACGCTAGAGGAGTCCATGGACAGTCTTCGTGTTCGGAAGCATCCCTGCGGATCGGATTTCAAACTCTATCATCTTTAGCTGCCTTACCACCTACCAACCTGCTGTGCTCAGGTCCGCCGTTCGAGAGGGGCCCTGGAAATAGCTGACCAGAAGTATACGTCGAACAATGCTGTTAGTCCGGGCCGCCTTTGTCCGTTGCTCCGTTGCATTCGTAAAGGCTCGATTGAGATAGACTGCGGTTATAATGACGGAGGCGTCACGCCACGACTCTGGCATGTCCGTAGTCGTCTCAACAGGCGCTGAAGGCCTCGCATCTGTGGTCGCATTCTCGTGCATCGCAAAAACCGTGCGAGGTCATCTCGCCTGACACATGCCTGACTGGAACATTGCTGAGTCTTGTCACCGATCAGGCGTCACACAACATCGCGATGCATATGCCATTTTGGCATACCAAGCAATGCAGCATGTGTCTTTCGCGTGGGAAAGATTTGCTGAAGGATCATTCGTGAGGTAACGTCCGTTTCAAACTCGAGTACTGCCTCAGGAACCGTGATCCCGTGCAGATATTGTGCTGGCAGCGGCATAACGCGGGGTGCGACAGGAATCCTACAGCTGAGGTGTGCCCGGACAGGGTCGGTTACAAAGTTTGCGCTACGTCAGCGATGCAGCCAAACTAACGCCCATGCGATATCTGTTGATTTGTGATCTGTTGCGCAGTACGAAAGAAGTTTTGTAGAAGTGCGTTATGATTTTGCCATGTAGAGTGCGTGCAAGCAAGTGGGTGCCTGGGAAGGGAGAAGATGCCGGAACCTCGGAAGCATCTCGTGAAACGTGATCTCAGCCGGAACGGGTCGATAGCGCCAAATCGTCTCCTTGGCGCACTAGTCTAGTTCGAGACCGCAGCAATGATTCCATGAGAGCTGACCCGAACACCAGCCATAGACTGTGGTGTCTTTACTAGCCACGCAGATCTTCGAACCTCCTCAACGATGCAGGATTGGCGTGCGTATCTGAGCTGTAACGTGGGCTGTGTTGTGGCACGCAGGTCGATTGCTGTTCTCATCCTACAGAACCGCGCCTCTGGCACGTTTACGTTTCAATAGCTCTAGGATGTAAAGCCAGGGTCTTTTCAGATCCTGCGCGAAGATGGGTTCGCCGTTGGATCGACATATGGCATGGCATCTTTGCGATTGTCATTCTCTAGGTAAGCGAAAACGGCGTAAGGCGCCCCGCAGTGTAAGCTGACCCGAACGAACAGTTCAAGCACAAGCCAACGTATTCTGAGCAGTCTCGAAGCTCAAGCACAACGATCGTCGGCCCCTGATCTGCAGTCACTGTTCACTACCTAGAGAGTCACAGACCTTCGAACCAACATGTCACTTCGCATTAACACACCATTCCACGTCTGCCAGAACTTTATCTTCTCGATGTCGTCTGCATCTCGCCATTTCGGTCGCCACGCATTTGAAAATGCTGTGAACAAGCACAAATCTGCTACACATTGACCGCGCTACTCGAATGACGTTGTTGAGAGGACATGTGAAGCGCGAACTGATACGGTGGGCGCTGCATTGCACCCATTTGGATACTAAAATCATAGTCGATGATCCGGAAATAAACAACGACGCAATTGTCATGGACACAAGGTGGTCTACAAACGCCAGGAGAATACCATCAGCACCTAGCTCGGTATCCAAACGTTGGTGGCCGGCTGCCGGAACTCAAGGTTCTCTTGTGTTGGCTAGCTTCACGCCTTGCACCCAGTCCATCGTTCTTCGGTATTCGGATAAGCAAGCTGCGGGCGCATCTCGCTTGTCGGATGAGTCTCCGCTGTCGTACACTGATATGGGCGATCATTCAATAACGCTGAACGTTCGTCTCGACTGTGTGCATCTGTGCTGCACGTAGAGTTTAACTATAGTAATGAGATCAGCATATATCTGTGTGATTACTATACGCATGTGAAGTGTCTTGCTCATCAAGGTAGAACCGCGCAATGTACAAGGACAGTAAGCGGAGGGCGTTGAGTTCACGCTGCTTACAAGCTCGCATTCGCTAGACCCCGACTATGCTACGAAGAGAAACGCCCTTCCTTCTCTTATTTCCCTCTACGACTCTTTTCCATTGTACAACGACCCTCCTCTTCAATGAAAGTTGTTCATAAAATGAGGTTAACTCTTTTTCGCGACGCTCGAACCCAAGCCAATCAATCCCGCGAAGACCTATGGAATTACTATGCAATGTTGACGACAGAAGTCTTGCAATGTAATCTATCTGTGGTTGTTGTAAGGATGCATCTCTGACCTCGAAACCAAGCTTCAGGTATCCTCTTCCCGGGCGCCTACGATCCTGCTGGGGTAACATCGCATCGTCTCCTGATTGCACCAGCGGTGTTAGAGGAATGTGGCGCTTATTCGGTAGCAAAGACCATATCTGAGAACTTGTGCCCTGTCGTCTCTGGTCCATCTCAATGCACTGATGAAGGTCCTGAGACGAAAACGCGGAATTGCTGTTATCTTGGAGGGACGCTTTTAAACCGTCGATTAATGCGCGCGTGAACGACTCGTGGCTAGGAGCAATCTGATCACAGCTGTTCATCAGCTGGAAACGCCTGGTAGTCCCCGGATCTCTGTAGTTGGGGTCGCTTTCATCATTGGACACATGTCGTATGTTACCATTGCTCGCATACGTTGTGTCCAGTATTGCAAGAACGTCTCCGTCAATCTCGTCCGAACAAAGATAGTCTTCGGTCTTGTACCAGTTTATTTGACCACCAGTGGAAGTGCGACGAGCCTTTGATGATTCCAAGGATGGCAAGAACTCGAGTCGACCGGCATGCTTGTAGTGGGCAGAATGGCCCGCATAGAACACGATCAACAAGCTATGAGGGTCATCATGCCTCTCGACGAACGTGGTCAAGACTCGGTCCATTTGATGTTGTGGTTTGCTTCGGTGGTCGAGTTCAACAATATCGGTCTCGAAATGGAAATGCTTCCGGAAGACATGTGCAAGCTCCTTCACCTGCGATCGTGTCAGAACGATGGTTTTCTGTCTTTTTCGCAGTTTCGGAACACTCATGCGAAAACTCCTCAACGGAGCTGGAGTCTGGCGTAAATCTGGAAGTACTTACTTCGTCGTCTGTCTTTAATTCATCCAACCCATCCGCCCATTTCAATAGCAACACAGCAACGTTTGCATAGCCCCTGTATGTTCCCATGTTTCTGGCGATTGCTTCCGCCCACCAGTCCTGCATTACCACTGAATGCTCTTGCGCCATGTCGCTTGTAGACTGTTTCTGCTTTGAATTGCGTCTTTCTTGTAGCGGCGTTTCGAAAGCGTCCCCAGCGGTTCTTTTGCGTGAACTATCAAGTGCCAGCTTTCGCTGCATCTCCAATTCGAGGCGATCGAAGGCGTTATCTTTGCCTTCTCCGTAGATAGGTGGCATATGTACGTCGAAGAGGCCAAGTAGAGAGTAGATTGCGTCCTCTTCGCGTTTGGTTTCCCGTCCAGCTGCCCAGGACATGCGCTCTTTTATACTGAAGTCCGAGAGGTTTAGCGGAGAAGACCCCAAAGCTCGGGAAGAAATAGCTGTAGCTTGATGAATGGCCTGCGACAGTGTTTGCTTATCACCTAGTCGCTCCCCATCAACGGTGAAGAATTCAACGGAAGGTGGAGCGAGTAGTTCTTGCAGAGTCCAGCCTCTGGTGAACCATTTGCTCTCCTGGAACGCGGTCTTCCAAGGCGTTCGAGGCGGGGCTGTCACATCGGAAAGATAGACGTAGCATCGGGTTGAATGTTGATACCATGCGAACATGGAGTTTATCGCTTCACCGAGTTTCACGCTATCTCTCTTATCGATGCAACACGTATCCACCTAATAAGTATCAGCCAATGCAACAATGAAGGAGAGCGTCCTAAGGTTACCCAGAAATATTCCAGTCCATCATCGGCAGCTTGGCCAGCACAGAAGTGTAACTTGACATAGCCCAGCTTCTCTTTGCCTCTGCCTTTCACGATGTCCTTGAAAGTCACTTCATCGTTGTCAGAACCCCAGGTATGTGACAGTATCGCATAGGGCGGCGGCTGTCCGTGGAACTCAACGAGGCTGAATTTGCCGTCGGTGTCACGTCGTAGAAGGTGCATGTTGGAATGGCAGTGGAAGGAAGCTGATCAAGTCGCCATCAGAGATGGTCGCAATGGAGATACGCAGATCGTGCGCTGACAGCAGCGAAGGAGCAAAAGATAACATGATCATGTCAGCAGTGGCGTGGCTATTCCATTGAGGGGTCGAGGTGCATCCTTCTGAACGACATGGGTTGGCGTCGCGCGAAGCTGAAGTGGGGCGGGGCAGATTGGCAGGGTCTACACCGGCTCCTGGAGACAATCAACACCCTGGGCACTAGACTTCAACAACACGAACGAGCGGTGACCGCGCCATGAGCCTTGCGAATAAGACTTCTTTTCAATGAGGCAGAGCTGAGCTGTGTTACTACCAAGGTACCACCATGCGGCCATCTGCCGGCATGATGAGCCCACCCTAGTCGGGGGACATATCGAACGCCAGCCCTTAGAGGATACAATCAAAGCCAATGATCTAAGAGTCTAGTTGCGGTGATATCCTGCTAACATCCGCTTTCCATGTTAACGTAGGCTGCACGGCGCCTGTCTCGCGTGTTGGTTGAACAAGGTGAGCTGTACGCGACATCGAGGAAGCCGGCTGCGCCCCCAAGACGCACATCTCAGCCTTCCCAATCTCATCAGCCATAAACTCATGGTTCTGGCTTCTATCCTTTTCCCGCGCATGGACGATGTTTCCACTGATTGAGTAGACACAATTACTGCTTCGAAAGCTCAGAATGGCGGATCCTCTCAGCATCGCAGGATCCGTGGTCGGCATCACCGCAGCTGGCGTACAAGCCTCTGTCAAGCTGTACGCACTCGCCGAAAAGGTCGCGACAGCGAGTCAAAGAGTCACAAGCATCGCAGACGATATTAGCAGCACATGCGCTATCCTCAACCAAGTGCGCGAACTCATCATACCTCAGCCTGATGCGCAAGGCACGCTAAAGTCGGTCTTCAATACCGTCGCCCTAAACGACATCTCGCATGCTCTCCGTCGTTGCAGGTCCTCTTTTACGGAAATCGAGACTCTTTTGCGTCGCGCGTTCGAGCAGGTGGGAAAACGCCCGGCGCTGCGTTCAAACATCAAGCTATCCCGGTTCGAACAAGCGAAATGGCCGTTCTTGCAGCCACAATTCGACGAACTGCGCAACGATCTTCGAGATGCGAAGGGAAATCTTGTCTTGATGATTGCTGTGGCCAGCCTTGCTCTTGCGCAGAGAGATGGACGACAGCGACCGATCCATGAAACGGAGAGACTAGATCTTGGATCTACGATCGTGCAGCTGCAACGGGCGAGTACGGTCAAGACACAACCTCAATACTTTTCAAAGATTCCTCGAACGGAGTTGAAGGACTCGCAAAGGCTTTTTACCTCAGGTGTTGATGCCGAAAAGGGCATGTCTTCCAAGCAAACACCCATGTTTGAGATGGCGACTTTGGCAAAAGCCCTTCCGCCTGGCCCGCCAGCGTTAGAAACGTTCACGTCAGCTTCCAATGACAGAGCTAAAGGCAACCCTGTACCCAGCACCCGTATGGCTATCGCAAATATGCCTCAGGCCTATGATGAAGCACAAGTGCAAGCGGCATTTATCAATACCATGCCGCACCCATCTCTTGAACTAAGTGAACCAGTTCGGATCGCTTCACGTTCAAGTCCGGGGGGTATATTATCGTCACGAAAAGCAATGGCTCATGGCTTGAGTTCCCCACGGGAGTCGCATCTTCCCGATCAACCCATTCCCGCAGAACCTATGTCATCCATCCCATCATTCGAGTCGACGGTAGCAGCCCAGCGACATGAGATGCAGTCTGAGGCGACCACCGCTGCAGGCGGTGACAATGTAATCGCAGCAGACAATGACGATGTCATCTGCTTCTATTCGGGGTTTGCTACCACTTATCTTCAGGGACTCACGACAGGCCACGGAGACTCCCTCTTATTGGATGAGATGGAGCTACCCCACGCCTCACTCGAGAAACTGGTCAAAACTTACACCGACGAAGGCAATGATCCACATATTGCGATGTCAGAGCTCACTCGAGAGCAACAGGCCATGATCAAAGAAACAACCCCAGAAAGAATCTGGAAAATAGCGTATGTCCGCTTGCAACGCAACATCAGTGTATCCAGCGTATTCGGTACATTGAATGTTGAAACACTCAAGTGGATCTTCAAAATGGAAGTTAAAATGCCATCGGTTGAGAATAAACCAGGTCGTTCAGGTGGTACCGGACTGTTCTCAAATTACTCTCCATATGAATCGTCATCGTCCACACGGCTTACACCTTCTGCTTCCTCGACTCCCGACCTCATTCGCATGTTCAGCGGCAGACACCGACGAAAACAAGGCGGTAATATACGCAAACAAATACCTCCTGAGCCTACCAGGAGTGACTTAGTGTCTCCGGACTTCAATATGTACAACCAAAGATCCTCCAAGCCCGGAGAAAAGCCAGTTACACCTGAACCTAACCCCGAATTCGGTCCAATAATGGATTTATCGAATGTCATTCCACTCGCTCGTTCAAAAACAACACCAATGCCGGATGCGGACGACGAATCTGACAACCAGCTCGATTCACCACCACAACACCCGCACGATGAATCTGAGGATCCGCTGGAAGAGCAATTCACCTATGAGATGTCCAGCACACTGGACAAGGAGGACGAAGCGTTCGCCAGGACATCCGTAAAGTTTTCGGATGCCTCCAAATCTGGTGGATATTCTAGGCCACGTGCATCTGAGGCCGCGGAATACGTTGATCCATCAACATCAATACCGACCGAATACAATCCCGACGTTGATGCATGGGCCGCGCAATACACTGACCCATCAGCATTAATTCCACCCTCAATGCCACTCTACCTCGACATCGACCTTGATACACATGCCGCGGAGTACGTCGATCCAGCAACAACGGCAATGCCAGATGCGGACGACGAATCGGAAACCTATGAGACGCAGCCCATGAACCCCGGTTCAAGCGGATCAACAGACCTGGAGCGACATGATCCCTCACGTACTCCGTCGTCTCCCTCACACTCTCCACTTCTGCTCGCTCAGAATAAACCAGATGTATTACAACACCCCGGTCGGGCCGTTCCACTGGAGGGAATGACACCGTTTGATCTACCGTATAGGGTCGAGGAATTTGGGGAACGTGACGGTTACCTTGAACCTCCTTCTATTCCACATCCAGGGGAAGACGAATCGTTTGATCGATTCCGCGAGGAGTCCCAAATATATCATCCGCGCCCCGAATGGGATGCGACGTCTTCGCGTTCGGATCGCACTGGCTATAACACGGTGAGGCGCTATAAGATGCCCGATGACGGCATGGAGGAAGACACAGTCCTTCCGACGCCTCTCGCGGAGGAGGATGGGGAAGACATCGTGAACGAACTTCTCGCTCGATGGACGACATCATGAGCATAAGGAATACGAGTAATACAGGAGACGTCATCCCCTGCAAGTAAAACAAACTTTCTCTTTACAACTTCACGTAAACATTGAACCATATTATAAAGTCGAACATCTTTTTTCACTCTCACACATCTCATACACTTATCTCCATATCTCACGGGTGACGCAAATGCATTGAAACGCCGCGCATTATCGCGCCTAGACTGCCATGGTATCTCGAACCCTCTACAGTACACGATGAAGCCCCGCCATATTGCGCCAACAAATGCGTTTTGAAAACGGTTCGAAAAGAAACATTGAAGACGAGAACCCGCACAACAAACCCCTCCGCCTAACCCACAACATCAATATCGCCATCAGCATCAACATCCTCCTCCCCCTCAGCATCAACATCGCCATCCGCATCCACATCCACCCCCCCACCATCCGCCCCCCTCAACGCACCCGGCAACTGACCCCTCACATTCTCAAACTCACGCGCCGCCGCATCCGCCTCAGCCACAAGCCCATTCCTCCTATAAGTATTCATACAAAGGCCCGCAACAACCGCCACCCACAGCGGCCTATGCACTTTAACCGCCTGTGACCTCGCCGCACGAATCGCCTGGATACTCTTCTCGCCGACGGTCTCCGCGAAGAAGCGCGCGACAAAGTAACACATCATCATAGCGACGAACTCAAAGTTCTGGGTTCGCTTCGAGACATCCTGGGCCATACCTACGGCGGCTTGGACTGTTTTCTTTTGTTGCAGGATGGGCGCGTCTTCGCTGTGGTAGGCTTGGACGAGGCGGAAGGCGATGCGTATGTATTGATTGGGGTGGTCGTCGCAGAGGGGTTTGATTTGAGCTAGAAGGAGGGCGGCTTGGAAGTGTTGGGGATGCGAGACATCGCGGAGAATGAGGAGGCGGTTCAGGGCTGCCATTATTGCAATGTCTGTTTTAGCGGGGGTTGCGTGGCCCTTCTCTGGTATCGCGAGGACGTCCGAGGACAATGCGGCTAGTGAGGAGTTGTGGGATCCGTTAATCTGGTCGGTGATGGCGGAGAAGTAGGCGAGCGTACGAGCGAATGCTTCTTGATTGCTGTATGGGGTCGTCGAGATCTTCTTCTTGAGAAAACCCAACGCATCGTCGGCGGTTGCGGGATCGTTCCTAGTACGGGCCATGAGGCCGATGGCAAACATGGAATACCAGTCGAGGACCATGTTCCACTCGATGCGTGCAAAGGAGATGGATATAGGTACGCCATTGTATACGCGTCGCTTCGCAGTCTCTCGGAAGCGCTGATGTGCTTCTTTCATGAAGTTCAGACCCTTCTCATGAACATGTTGGTCCAGTGCGCAGATATGGAAGCACAACGCTTGAAGATCCTCCTTCGGAAGCCATGCAAACACCAGTTCGTCCTTTTGCTCCGCGTTCTTTCGGAAGATGCCAGCAGTGTCAAAAGTCAGGTGACCCCCAAAGCTCCGCTCAATGAGAACAGTGAAGACGCCGCCTTGGGAGCTACCCTGTTCGTTCTTGTCGCCTAGTATGGATTCCAGAAGCGCGGTAGACTTCTGTGGGTTGGGGCTGCCCTTTTGGATACCGCTAGCAATGTCAATAATGTCGATGAGAGTGCCAAACGATCCTAGCTGCTTGGCTGACACTTGAAGCTGCAGGCTTCTGGCTGCTGCGATGGCGCGTTGGGCTTGTTCGAGTCGATCGCTTGCACCCGAGCGTAGATGAACCATCGCTTCGAGTACGTGACAAGCGACGTAGATGGCCCGATCACCCCGCCGGTCCGCGTGATCTTGTATAGCATGGAGTTGCTGGAGAGCCAATGCCACCTCGACACGACCCGGTATCTGCAGTGCGAGCGTGACTTTGAGAAACCGCAGCGCATACACCCAGGCGATGTGTTGGAAGGTTTCCGCCTCCTTTATAGGCTGGTCGAGCGACTTGAGACCGGCGCGGTGATTGGTCTTGAACTGATATCGTGCCTGAAGATGGAGGGCAGCAAACTTCAGGTCTTGAAGGCGATGGCGTCCACAGAGCGATGTCTGCTTGGACAGAATCTCCTCAATTCGACTAGAAATGTCCGCGGCCTCGATGTCCGTCTCTTCAATCATCAAGCTGGCGTACCTCAACCGCAGCTTGGCTTCGTCCCTAGGCGGCATGTTGAAGTCCCTCAGCACAGTATCCATGCACCCCATGGCAGTGGACATTAACTTGTAGTATTGTCGGACGTCGGCCTCCCTTCTCTCCCGTATGAGTAGCGATCCCATGCCTCGCGCGACCGCAATGTATTCGTCCGCAGCCGTAAGCAATAGTTCGGAGAGCTCGGCAGGAAGGGCCTTCTGAGGAGGAGGATGGGCGCGCTTCGTAGGTGTAAGCTGATGCAAGGACGACGCTTTCGGTATGACGACTTGGGGGTGCATGCGTGGTTTGGACGAGGGCGGCTGAGGGAACGGACTGCCATACTGGCTCGACGGCGTCCGAGACTGTGGGGGTACGCGCTGTTGTTGGGGCGTTGATTGAGGGGGTCGCTGTTGCTGAGGGGTAGACTGTGGGGGTCGCGGTTGTTGAGGAGTAGATTGCGAGGAAGGACGTTGTTCTTGAAACGTGGGTTGTGAGGGCATACGTTGCTGCTGGGGCGTTGACTGTGACTGTGGGGGTCGTTGTTGCTGAGGAGTCGACTGTGGAGGGCGCTGTTGTTGGGGCGTCGATTGCGAAGGTCGCTGCTGTTGAAGGGTGGGCTGAGAGGACATGTACTGCTGCTGAGGCGTCGACTGCGAAGGCACACGCTGTTGCTGAGGCGTCGTCTGCGGTTGTAGAGGCGCTCGAGACTGGGCTTGACTGTGCGAAGGAGTGACGACGGGTCGCTGCTGTGGCCTGGGCCCATTCTCTTGAAATGACGGCGACCGCTGCACTGGCTTGGAGCTGGGTGTATTGGGTGCCTGCTGTGCGCTATACCGCCGCTGTTGGTCAGCCGAGCCGTCTGTTTGCGCCATGCCCGTGCTGCCTGTTCGCTGGACCGGCACCTGGACATGTCGGATTCGCGGGGGCTGCATCTGCGGCATGGGGGCATATTGCTGTGTCCTCGGGGGGATGACGACTTGAGGCTGCCGTTGGTACTGGGGTTGCTGCTGTGGTGGCTGCATCTGGGGAGGCATTGGCGCATATTGCTGGCTCATGGGTCGGGGCATGCTGGACTGTGGCGGCAGTTGATACTGCTGTGGCTGTGACTGAGGATATCCTTGCGGCACCTGCATCTGCATGGGAGGGTACTGAGGGTAGCCATGCTGCTGGTAGACATTTGGCTGCTGTTGCTGCTGTTGTTGCGGAGGCGGCGCATACGGATTGTACTGGCCGTTGGGATAGCCCTGGGGCTGCCAGCCGTATCGCGGATCCATGGCGGAGGATACTCAGGAGGCGGACGGTCACCGAGAGTCGAGATATCGGCGGTGCATCGTGGGCGAAAGCGGGGTGTCGACGTGAGGACGTGTAATGGGCAGTCGCGAACTTGGGCAATCGCGAACGCGCCAGTGCCGTTGAGCGCCATTGGCCCACAGACGCGCGCTTGCTGCACCAACACATGCAGCCTAGTCGCAGCCAGACCGAGGCCCAATTCTTCCAACCTTACGTACGTATGTGATTCTAGATAAGACGTTCACCATCTCTTTGTCAAGATCGATTCACACGGAAGACCCTCCTAGAATCTGGATTCACCAAGTACACCAACCATACTAGCAATTGAGCGACTGAGTGGGGGTATCGAGAAAGAGCTGGGAACAGGACCGAAGGCGTGTAATAGTGCTGAGGTGGGATTTTAATCCGTGGTGTCTCCAGAACTCATACGAGATTGCATCGCCTTATCGAATTTAGACCAGATACCACTCCACTGAACCCATCATGTCTTGGCTCCTAGGCCACAGCAAAACGACCTACACCTCCCATGCCTCGCCAACACCCCTCCAAACCAAGACCGGCTCAAAAACAAACTTGAAAGAGATCGCCGAGTCCTCAATTCCATCATGCCGTTTAAACCCTTTCCTCTTCAACGGTCACCTCCAGACAATGTACACAGCCGTCAAAGACCCCGGCCCAGAAATCTACTACAAGCGCCAAATCTTCGACTCGGACCACTCCGTCTACCCCGGAACCTTTGCCGTAGACTTCGTAGTACCAAAAGAAGAAGGGCTCACCTCCGCTACGCGAATGGCCGAAGAGAGAGACACAACCGAACTCCCCGAGCGAACCACAAACTTCACGTCCAAAGAATGGGACGCAATAGGCAGTCCAGACAGCACGCCCATGCTAATAGCCCTCCACGGCCTAACCGGCGGCTCCCACGAAGTCTACCTGCGCGAAACCCTCCAACCACTGCTCACATCGCGCACGCAACCCTGGGCCGCATGTGTCGTAAACGGGCGTGGCTGCGCCCTCTCCGCAATCTCAACCCCCCAACTCTTCAACTCACGCGCAACCTGGGACCTGCGTCAAACCATCAAAACGCTACACGCCCTCTTCCCCAACCGCCCCCTCTACGCCATAGGCTTCAGTCTCGGCGCCAACATCCTGACCAACTACTGCGGCGAAGAAGGTAGCCGCTGCACCCTCAAAGCCGCGGTATCCTGTTCGAACCCGTGGAACCTAGAAGTCTGTAACACAACCCTCCAATCCACCTACCTAGGCCTCCACATCTACTCCCGCACCATGGGCAAGAACCTCATGAACCTTTTCCACCGGCACCGCTCGCAGATACTAAAGAACCCCGGTATCGACGAGACAGCGCTGTTAGCAAGTAAATACCTCCACGAGTTTGATCGACATGTCCAGTGTCCGACGTGGGGGTATCCGACCGAAGGCGCGTATTACAGGGACTCGCAGTCTGTGGACGCGGTGTTGGCGATTCGAATCCCCTTTTTGGGGATTAATGCGGAGGACGATCCTATTAGCAATAAAGCGGGATTGCCGTATCAGGAGGTGTTGCAGAATCCGAATACGCTGTTGTGTACGACGGATTGGGGTGGTCATTTGGGGTCTTTTCAGTTGGGTGGGGGGAGGTGGTTTGCGAGTGCTGCGGCGGCGTTTTTGGAGAAGATGTTTGAGGAGGTGGAGGGTGAGGCTACTAAAGGTGTTGACGAGGGAGCAGATGTGAATATGGGAGGGTTGGAGGGGAAGAAGTATCCTATTTTCGATCCCAACCATCGCAGGTTGATATTGCCTGAGGCTTAAATCATTGAGCTTTGATTTGGAGACTGGATTGGATTGGATTGTAAATTTGTTTGGGTATCATAGACTTTTAGATATCGTAGATCGCTTGTAGACCTGATGTGTTGCGCGACATATGACGCCCTCTTCTCTGCCGTGCTTTTACGCTTGCGTTTGCTGCCTGCGCTGACCATCGACACTGGCCTTCTCGGTATCGTACACGATGCGTGATCGTCTCGCCGCAATGTCTGCCCGTCTACCTTGTACCTCCCCATCAACATGGAACTCACGCCCACAGATTATCCTTTCAACCAAAGCTGACCCTCTTCCTCTGCTTAAACTTGCGATCCTTCTCCTTGATCTTATCGCCCTCATCCTTGTTCCCACCCGCACCAGGCTCACTATGCCTCTTCCTCTTCTTCTTGAGATCCTGTTTCCTCTCCTCGAAAGCTTGGTCCTTGTCTGATTTCCTTGCCTCGGCTTCTTTCCGCTTGGCCTCGCGTATCTCTTCTAGCTGGCGTGCTTTGGCGATCTTGGACTCGAGGTGGCCTTCCTTCTCGGCGTTGACGACGGACATGATGGCCATCTTGAAGAACGTTAGTATCAGGTTCGAGGTCAAGAAAGTCCTTCGTAGAGGAGGTGGAAGGAAAATGGGATTTACATACCATACTAGCCGGATCATCAACAAACTTCTTCCCCTTCTTCACACCCTTCGGTTTCGCAATACCAGCAGGTATAATGCCATTCAGCGCCGGGATATCCAGCTCCTTCTCCGTGTACACGCGCTTCTTCTTCCTGCCGTCCCTGGAAACAACACTCTTGGTCTTTTGCTGGCCACCCGGTTTAGCCAAGGACATGGACTTTTGCTTGCGCTTCGATATGCCCTCGGGCGCGCTGCCAGTCGGTTTCGCAGACTTCGCTTTCGGTTTGTTGGCGCCGGATTTCGCAGGGCCGGATTTGCCTTTCGACGAGGTCTTGCCCTTGGTGGAGGGCTTGGAGAGACCCATTTTAGCGAAGAAGGTGGTGCGTGGGTGAAGTTGGCGCAAAAGTTGGTGTTGGTAGTAAAGAGTCTGGAAGTCTGGAACTTTTCGTCGGCGGTTGGCGAGCTGCAGATGCCGACGCACGTAAGTGCCAAGGGCAGGCGCGACCGAGTGGACCGCAACCTCGACTGGCGCAACCGCAACTCCAGCAGCTAGCTAGCTCCTTGCATCACACCCACACCACCACAATCCCACTCCCAACCGAGTCGCAAACGCATACGCACGGCATGATGGAGGACTCGAATCGCCTCTTCCGCTTCCCCAAGCCCGCGTGGATGAACAGCGCCAACACGCGGACTGCCGGCGTCTACATCGCGGGAGCCTTGGTGCGCGCCTCTCGCATGCCACACCTACACACGTACTAACAATGACGCGCAGTTCGCCATGGGCTTCTACACCCTCATCGACATCTCGGTATGGTCCAAGTCGGCCATGAACGGCTCCGAACCAACCGTCCACATCACCTTCGTCGACTGGATTCCCGGCATCTGCAGCGCCCTCGGCATGCTCGTCATCAACAGCATCGACAAGTCGCGTCTGTCTGCCGACAGCTTCTCCTACTCTGGAAACGGCGTCGCGTGGAAGGCGAGGCTGGTGTTGTTCCTGGGCTTTGCGCTGTTGGCTGGTGGACTTGCGGGTAGTGTTGTGGTCATGGTTATGAAGTTTATTGTTGTTGGGCATACTTGGCCGACGCTGTGGCTGGGCGTTGGAAACGTCGTTGCTAATGCGCTTCTTATGCTGAGGTGAGTACCATATATGAAGTGCTGGGATGGCTGCTAATGTTGCGTAGTTCCGCTGTGCTCTGGATCGCGCAGAACATGGAAGACGAATACACCTACAACCTGGCGTTGTAGGCTACTGGTGGATTGAAGGCGGCGACTGAGGACGAATATGACGCGTTCTGTATCTGGACGCGCGCATGGAATGGATATAATTATGTACGAGTATTTGAGGGTCGGGACTGTTCGTCATAGGCAGCTTGTTGTTTCATGCCAGTCATTCAGCGATTTCGAGTTATTATGTTCCAATACGGACAACCAAAGTCATCCTATGCATTATGTTCGATATACTTGTACAAAAACGCTCAGCAAACTATGGGTACAACATAAACATGGGCAGCACCGATCCGAATCTTCCGGCTGTCAGCATTTGCTTTCAACGCCCTCAACATTCCTCCAGTGGTCGCGCTGGACCAGATTGTGTGTGTGCGGTTCCTCATTGCTGAGTCCCGCCGGCGAGTCAGAAGTCTTCTTGCTCTTGGAAGAACAGGGTGAAGCTGATGATGGTCGCGTATATCAGAAGACCGCCGAAGATGGACATGGCCGCCGCGCCGCCTGCGATCTCTGCTGAATGCCACAGTAGTGTTGGGAGGGCTGTGAACGTGTTAGCAGTCTGCCAAGATACCCCCAGAATCGTCCCTGTGCCACCCAGGTGTACTCACCAATACCCATGACCACAAAGAAGCCCGTCAAGAACCGTCCAAAGTCGACGACACCATTTCCGGTGCTTTCCATAAAGTCATCGCGGTTTGCTGCGCGGCCGCACAGCCAGTTGGGCAGGGGCGCGATTACGTAGGTTGCGACGACGAGAAGCGTGAGGTAGTTCTTGAAGAGCGCGGCGGAGAGGATGACAAGGAGGAAGCCAATCGCCAGGACCTAGTGAGACGGTGTTAGCAAGTGCATGGTGGAATAGCGAGCGCGCGTGCATGCGACAGGCTGACGTACGAAGGACAACCCTATGATGGTCTTGATGCCGGCCATGGTGAATTCGTAGAGGGTTGCACGTGACGATAATGTGTTGCAGAAGTATGCGCCGACGTCGCCTTGGTTCGATCCTCGGTCCGGCGAAGATGCGAGGTTGCTGTGATGGGGGTCTGGCTGCTAGACGCCTGGTGGTGAGGTTGCGTCGCACGCGCTAAGGGCCTTGCCAAGCTTGGAGCTTCTGGAGCTCATCGTCGTCAACAGCGGGTGCCTCCAGCTGCAACACCACACTCTCTCGGTCCTCGTCCCACGCCGCACACCACACGACTACCGTCTTCGCCACTAGATTGCAGCAATACCGTATAACATACTGCGTCTCGGATTCCTTCTTTTAGCCCTCCACAAACCACCCCACACCCCACGATCCCGCCTTCAAGATGTTCCGCAACAACTACGACAACGACTCGGTCACATTCTCACCGCAAGGCCGCATCTTCCAGGTGGAATATGCACAGGAAGCGGTGAAGCAGGGTTCCGTCGTCGTTGGAATCGTCAGCAAGACCCATGCAGTACTCGCCGCAATCAAGGTAATTACTCACGCTCTCTCAACTATACGGACAATTACTAATGGACTACTAGCGAAACGCCGAGGAACTCTCTTCCTACCAGAAGAAGATCATCACCATCGATTCGCACTTCGGTGTCGCGCTCGCCGGTCTCGCCTCGGACGCCCGTGTGCTCTCCAACTTCATGAAGCAACAATCACTGGCATCCCGCCTCACCTACGACCGTGCCATTCCTCTCTCCGAAATCACCTCTCGCATCGCCGACCGCGCCCAGACCAACACCCAGCAGTATGGACGGAGACCCTACGGTGTGGGACTGTTGATTGCCGGTGTCGACGCAAAGGGCCCGCATCTGTTCGAGTTCCAGCCCAGCGGTGTCACACAGGAGATGGTTGCATGCGGTATCGGTGCCAGGAGTCAAATGGCGAGGACATACCTTGAGAGGCATCTGGACGACTTCGAGGGCGCTAGCAGGGAGGAGTTGATCAAGCACGCACTGAGGGCGCTGAAGGAGTCGCTGTCACAAGACAAGGAGCTGACTGTCGACAATACCAGTGTCGGTATCAGCGGTATTGGCGAGGACTTTGTGCACCACGAAGGCCAGGATGTTGCGGAGTGGCTGGACGCTACCTTTGAGAACAGGGAAGGTGGCGACGATACGGCCGAGGGCGGAGAGGCCATGGAGTTGTAGGGAAGCGTGCAGTCTGCAAGACTCAGTATAGCCACTTGACGAGAGACTGTAGATCATGATGTAGCCGCCTGGCTATGAAAATATAATGAACACGATTACGAACTTCTATATGTCTTTGGAGTGCTTCAGTGACAGCTTACAGCTACTCAGTGCATTTTACGGTTGCTTTCCATCAAATAAAATATTCTGTATCCGCCAGGGTACAGTTTACACAAAACGCTTCCGTACCTGATATGTGCACGTGATCTGCAGCTCCGAGCCGCATGCGCGAAATCTCGCCGGAGCTCAGCAACTTCAACACCTGCACCCGCAACCCAAACCCCGTCCACACCCACGAACCCACATCCTACCATCACAATGGCATTCGCGTGGAAAGCCGCCGGTCTCACGTACGCCCGCCCACCTCTGCCCCCGCTGCAGCCCCAGATTAGGACCCGCCATTGACTGTTGAACAGCTACAACCGCTACATTGCCGTCGCATCGCGCGTCGTGCGCCGCTCGCTCAAGGAGGACAAGCGCATCGCTGCCGAGCGAAGGGGCGAGAGCGAACTCCGCTTCGCCAAGTGGGAGGTGAGTCAGGGTGATGGGATGGGATGGAGTGAGGAAGTTGGGATGGGCTAACGGAATGGGCAGAATGGCAAGCAGGGCGAGCTGAAGGAGCTCAACGCTGCGGCGCTCCAGGCACAGGCCGATGCCGCCAAGACCTCGTAAAGCAATTGAGAGGAAGGGACATGGCATAGACACGATGGAGTGGCATGGACAACGGAGGAGAGATGACGCTTAGGGAGGATAGACGTATAAGCTGTACTATCAAGCTGGAGCGGAATCAAAGCCAATGCACACCAACAATTGAGCCGACATTCACTCTCCCCAATGATCCAAAGCGCTTGTGAAGTAGAAGTGAGATGACGGTCGTGACTACCAGTAATGTTGCCGCTTGCCTCGGACGCGCGCCTGTCCAACTCGGCTGTCACAAATCTTCCCGCATCGGCATCGACTCCACCACAACATGGCAGATGCGTCTAGCAGCCACAGCACAGCCTCCACCCCGGATCATGACACAGGTGTAGCCGTTGACGGGGCTGGTAATTGTTTCTTCTACTTCTGCGCAGAGCAGTCGATACTGATGATGCACAGGCCCCTCGCATGCGCAAGAGTCTGCGCCTACCATCTCGGCCTCTACTTCCGCTAATTTACCCTTGAGACAATCAAGACATCCGGTCGCGGGGACGCAGCCAAAGATTCATGATGTGACGGACAAGTTTACGAGAGCTTGTAATGGTGAGTTGTGACCTCAGGTACATGGAGGGGCATGGCGGGGCTGCCTCGTCATGTCGTACTGCGGTGGTTACCATGATATGCCCAGGCAACATGGACTGACAACGTCCAGCTCTCGAAGTCGGTCAACTCGTCAAGGATGAATACTTTACGCTGTTTGAGTCGATCGGGGCCATCGAGGTACACCGCTCTTACTACTAAAATGAAGATTCTCGACTTACGTACCACAGATCATGGACCCCAAAATGGACAGCGGCTTCCTCCAACCTGGAGAAACCCTAGAAGACGACTACGACACTCTGGCTCCCCTTCTACCCGAGGAACTAATAGGCATCATGGACCAACTACTCTGCTACGAAATGGCCTGGCATACCGGCTACCCATTGTCCCAAACCCTCTTCACGTCTTTGCACATCGATAAGCTGCTTTGGCCCGAGACTAAGATTCTCGAGCAGGCGCAGTTCTATCGTGGGGAAATTCTGCATGAGAGACGACCTGGACCGTTGCTAGAAGTTCTGAGAGCGTATTGCCTGGCGTTGATCAAGGGGTGCGACTTTGTGATTGCGAAGATTACGGGAAGGGATTACTTTGAAGAGGAGGACTTTTGTACGCATACGTATAATCGGGTGTTGTTTGTTAGTGTGCCGATGGATGTGTTTTTGAGGGAGTTGGATGCGGCGATGGAAACGATTGAGGAGTATGCTTCACCGCGGACTGGACAGTCGACGGCCTGCTAACACGTCGTAGTCCCGGATTCGAGATCAACGATGCGCTTCGGAAAGCCATTAGCTCCAGGCTAGAACTTCGGAAAGACTTCCTTCGCGCCCTTGACTTGGATCTACCGCTCGATCAGATATCCTATTCGTGGTCGCCAATACTTCAAGGTATCGACTCGTTGAAGAACACGCATCAGCTTGGGAAGACTGTGCCTGGTGCTTTCAGTCCGAAGATGCAACGTCGTCTCGCCTCTACAGTACCTCCACGACCAGTTGTAGAGCTCGACTTCAAAGATGCGTTGGAGAAGCTACATCAGATAGCTACCGACTGCGCAGAAGCCACGCGCTTCCCCGCTCTGCCCCAGGACCCCCTCGAATACCAATCCTTCCTCTGGCACTTCTCTGGTCGCTCACCCCCGCCACTGACATACGCCCGCTCTTACCTCGCAACCCTACTCTTCCACCCCGACGTCCTCAACGCCTCCGTTTCCCTCCCTCTCGTCGACGTAAAGACACTCGTCTTTCCTTCTTCACCCGTCATAGACCCCATCAACTGGACAATGTCACCACCACGCAATGCTCTCATGCCCAAACCCCCACGCCTCCAGTTTGCCATGCTCATCGACGAATTCGTAGACCGCGCCGGCCAAGCGTACCTCGATCTCTGGGTCGCCATGGGCCAGAACCGTTGTCGACTGAGACGCATGTTGACGCACGTCATCATAGGCTGGGACCTGCTTCAAGCCGACGCAAGCTCAATCGATATGGATATATCCTCCGCGGCCGCCACTCTCGGTCAGAGTGCCCAAGTCATGGAATTCTCCCTCTCTACCTGGGTCTACCACAAGAAGCTGTGGATGATAGAAAAGGTCATCTTACTAGGCTTCGAACAGGACATCTACCTGCCGGATGAGTACGCGGGCATGTACCTCTTCCTCTCGCTCATCGCTACACGACGGAAAGAGTTGCTCAAGAGGGTGGAAGCACACTACCTCAGTATCTCCACCGAGCTCCTTAAATCACGACGGTTCAGAGAGGTTCAGGACGTGGAGGAAGCGTCACCGTTCCTCGACTCCCTGCTCGCTGAGACAGAGGGAACAGCGTCCCTGGCTTTGGCTCTCGCCCGCTTCTACGTCATCTGCGGCTATCTGGGTAAACTCCCCATACCCCGCCGCACTCCCTTTTCCACGGAGAAACTCCGGTATGAACTCAGGATGAAACCTTTCCTCGCCTTGCAACCACCCGAAGCACCGCCATTCGACGACTTCAAAGCGTATAGCCAGCCTTACGGACCGGTGCTGTCTGCTTCTGAGCCTCCACCCGAGGCTTTCGTTCAGGACGTTCAAGATAGGGATAGCATGCTCTGGCAAGAAGTAGACGACCGTATCAAGGCGGCCAAAGCATCGTTTGCAGAATACAAGAGGTTGGGTTTTGGAACGGCGAAGGCGGAGGGTGTGAAAGCGAGTTGGGAGGACGAGGTTAGGAGGATGGTGGCGAGTTGTGTTAGTTTGGGGTTGGCGGTTAAGGAGATTAAGGATCTTGTTGTTGTTAGGGAGGGTGGTGGTAAGGAGGAGGAGGGGAGGGGTGATATGGGCAAGGGATTCAAAGTGGAGATTCCGGAGGCGGGGATGGGGAAGAGGTATGCTGAGGGGTGGATTGTTGGGAAGGTTGTCAAGGATTGAGGGGGCGGAATTGGGGCGAGGGTGCTGGACGTATGAGGAGGCTGGAAGGGCGATGAAGGGTGGGTGGATGGATCAGTGTGGATATCATGGCACATTGAATTAGACATATGAAGAAAGAGCGCGTGTTTTCATATCTTATGTCAGTACTACTACGGGTAAGGGCAGTGAAGGATACGTCGAAGAAATGATGGATTGACAACAGGTGGTCAAGTATCTACATTTGAATGTACACCAGCTATCTGTCGCACTAGCCGCAACAATCGCATATGTCTCATCTTATAACTCACACGGACCAGCAATGCGAGATTACAAGACTACCTCGATCCGCCTAAGCAAGCCCAGCGGCCTGAATAGCGAAGGAAGCGGCCGCATCCGCACTGCTGCCGTAGCTGAGATGGCTTCCAGTAGCACCGCCATCACCACCACCACCGCAGATCTGATCAGCAGTACCGCAGAACTGCTTGATCTTGTCAGCCGAAAGACCGCTGATAGCCTGGCGCTTCAATGGGTCTCCAAACATGACAGCACCGCTAACATCAGTAGCAGAAATGCCCTTGCTGAAAGCATTGTGAACGACCATGGCACCTTGAGAGTAGCCTGATACAATGATCTTGGTGTCGGGACATTGAGCCTTGGCCTGCTTGACCAGATCGGCCATCTTCTGACCACCGTCGCCACCGAGGTTGGCGTTGCCAGCAGCAGAGGCAGCGTAGTCAACACCCTGGACGGTAACACGGTCGTTACCAAGCTTCTGCCGGATAGCCTTGAACATGGGTGGTCCGGACACGGATCCGACGTTGCCCATTTCTCCGGTACCACGTGCGAAGACGATGGTCATGTCGGTACAGCAGCTCTTGTCCACGATACCGTTTTCGCTTCCTCCGAAGGCGTTGGACGATCCGGATTGCGGCTTGCAGTCTGTGCCGATCGTGCCGGCGCCGCCAGTGTTGCCTCCGCCCGTTGCGGCGGGTGCTTGAGCGGCACCGGTCTTGGAAGGTGCGGGAACAGCGGCGTCAGCTGTTGTCGTAGCACCACCAGCACCGCCTCCGAGGCCTCCGAGACCTCCAAGACCAGAAAGGCCCCCGAGACCTCCACTGGAACCTCCACCTAGGCCGCTGAGCCAGCTGCTCAACCCCGAGCCACCTGTACCGGTGCTGCCTCCACCCAGGCTGGGAAGGCTGGTCGGAAGTGAGAAACCTCCACCTCCGAGGGAGGGGATGCCGGTTGGCAAGCTGAATCCTGATCCTCCTCCAAGGCCACCAAGACCACCAAGTCCCGAGCCTCCACCAGTAAGTCCACCAAGTCCTGAGCCTCCACCTCCAAGAGAGGGGATGTTGGTTGGGAGGCTAATTCCTGATCCTCCACCAAGGCCACCCAGTCCCGAGCCTCCACCAAGGCCACCAAGGCCACCAAGACCAGAGCCTGATCCACCAGTCGGTAGCGAGAAGGATGGCAGTGAGGGAAGCTGGGGGTGCGGGAAAGCAGTTGCAATGCTCGCAAGAGCGAAAGCTTGAGCGGCGTAGAACTTCATCTTGCGATATCGATCAAAGAGTCGTCTGTATCTGTATAGACCGCGTCGTTTGAGAAAAAGAATGTAGGTGCACAGCACAACGAAGAACAAGACAGGCGCGGGAAGCGAATGTAGTAGAGATGGAAGCGAAAGTGAGATCGAAGTCGATGCCCATCAAACTCCTGTTGGAGACCTCCATCTTATACAAAACTACAAAACATCCACGGCTGACTTCCTCGGAGCACCATCGCAGCGGGGTGCGGAGTGGAGTTTCGAAACATTGCTTCTGCAGCGGATTGTGATGAAAGGAATGCCATGGCGTTGTCCATCAACGCGACCTCGGGACGTTATTGTGGAGTCCGTGGCCCCGTTTGCGGGAAGAAGGCTGATGTGTACAGGGAAGCGTAGTTAAGATCTCCGTGTCTGGACTCTGATTACTGAATCTGTCGGGTGATTTTCTACGTGTTTCGTGTTTTGCTGGCATGCGATTGGGGAGGGGAAAAGCCGTTGTTTCTGCGATCAAGGATGGATGTGGGCGCATGACTCTAGTGACCGTTTCGATCATCGAGCAGGATTCTCGTTGCGTTGGCGGCGGATGGGATGCTAGGGTAAGGGCTGTAGCAACCGCGACAAGTGGTACATTTCATGAGTTTTGGATGTTGTGCGCAATATCCCCTTCGATATCTCGCATCGCGTCTAGACATGCGATAGTACTTCGTTCACGCGTCGGAAGGCGAATGTATAACTTAAGCTAGACACAGCCTTTCGGGGTGGTTCACGCAAAAGATTCCGCTGTCAAACACGTGTGCAAACTCTACGTCGCGGTTTCTCAGCAAGCCATGTCGACTCGGCTATCTTACTGCTATCAATGCCTTGCATGTTCTGGAACTCACCAGCGATCGAAATGTGCACAATGGCATCATCCGCTAAAAAGTCCAAGCATCCTTCATTTACCAGCCATGATCTTCTCAACGGTGTGAGCGGAAAGTAATTAATCAGAATCCCGTAGGGCTGTCCCATCCATGTCGACGATGCGACGTTGCGATCCGGGCCTCGGCAGCCACCATGTGGGCCGTTTCACGATGATGCTGGTGCAACATCAATCATGAATCGTGGGTTTACTGACAAGTACCTCTACCGAGCCAATTACATAGTCTTCTTCTACCTTACATCCGAGGCTGGTTTGTTTGCGTCTTAACGTTTGGTAAACCTTCTTTATTGATCACGCTATCGCGCTGTAATAACGACTTTGCCCGCTGTAACGGTTAGATGGCGAAGGCTAGGTAAGAAGAACGATGACGTTACAACATGCTGACTTCTGTCGACTGACCGTAAGTACATGTGTCTGTAAACGTGATGTATCTATGGATATATTGAGACTGCGCGTGAAGATGCGGTGTTCGATGTATGTGGAACACGACATCGTCTTCAACGGCCCGCTAGCTCAGTCGATTAGTCCCCACCTCTTGCCTGCACCAACCTCACCCCGCAGTTAGCATTCACCCCATTCTGCAGCGCCGAGGCGCATACCACACCATCATCAACTCTTCTACTAAGCAAAGTCATCGCGTATCCATTCCAAAATCAACATGATAACCGGCATCCACCACGTCAACCTCGTAGTACCACCAAGCACACTCCACCTAGCCACCTCCTTCTACGCCACAACCCTCGGCCTAACACCACGCGCAGTACCACACCTACAACGCGAAACGCTCGCATGGTTCGACATCGGCAACTCGGGTCAACAAGTGCACATCGCGATCGGGAAGCCAGAGGATTTTGCAGTTCCTTCATCGCGGCATCCATGTTTCCGGGTTGGCAGTGTAGAAGCGCTAAATGAGTTGAGAGCGAAGGTATGGGAACATCATGAGCGAGGCGGAGAGGCGGCGCCGTTGGAAGCAGATAGACCTGGTGTAAAGAACAGCGGGGCGGAGGGTGTAGAGTATCCGACGAGGTTTTTTGCGAGGGACTTTGCGGGGAATAGGTTGGAGTTTAGTGTGTAAGGGAAGGATGAATAGGATTTGACTTTCGCTTTAAAAGCTACAAGAATGGCGTTGTTGGGAATCATAACTATGGATAGAGCGGACTGCGTAATGGAGAACGTGCCGTCTCATGCCAACAACATTACCGCAACCAATGCAGCAAGAGTCGCAATAGTGCCTAGACTTACACCCACCACCCCCGCACCCCCCTTCGCATTCAACTTGACAACCGCCCCGGGAAAACTACACGTCAATCGATCCGGATTCTCATCCCTAACCCCATACATACCATCCCTCTGCACCCCATTCGGGCACGCAAACCCCATCTGCGCCGGACAAGTCCTCACAATATCAAAGCACATGTCCTCACACGGCTTAAGCTCCTTGTACGGGCCCGGATCAATCTCCTTGTCGATGTTCGGGTTTCTCGACTGGCTAAAGGCCGCGCTGTCGTTAAACCCAGGTATCATATCCGGGAGCGAGCCGTTGGCGAAGGGCGTCTTGATATTACGCGGTACGAGGGAAGGATCGGTTGCGGTCCAATCTTCGCAGCGGGGCATGAGGACCATGCAGAGCCAGTTTTTGTAGGTTTTGGCGCAGTCGTCGCATGTTACGGCGAGGGAGTATTGGGCTTCGGAGACTGTGTCGCAAGCAACCTGCGCCAGGGACTTGTTGAAGTTGTCGTAGTATTGACGGGCTTGTGTTTCGTAGATCTCAGCGAGGGCGGAGTCGTTAAGCTTGAACTTCGTGTTGGAGGGGACGGCGTAGGCGACCATGTCGCAGAACTCGAGGTCGAAGAGGACTTGGCAGGAGTCATCTTTGCATGTTGTTAGCATGATTTTATAGAAAGTAGGATGGAACACTCACCAGCTTTGGTCGTCCAGTTGAAAGCCTGAAAGACCCTGCCTCCGCCTCTTGTCGTGCCCGTGCCAGGAATGGTGAGTGGCTGTTGGCTCCCCTCAATGACAACGAATCCGTTATATGTCTTCGCACTCTGCAGGTTCCTGACGTGGAACTGGCTCTTGGGCATGTTGTCGTCACCGCCGATCTTATTGAACTTGGTGGTGATGCTCGTGTCGATGGTGAAGTTTCTGGTCGCATTGACATTGAACTGCTCCTTAAGCGCACAGTAAGAGCGTTCCAAGCCCGTCACTGGTGTCCATTCGCCGTCTGGGAAGGCGTACATGTGGAAGGGGTTTTGCGCCCTCCATCTATCGACCTCCACTGTGTCGTTCGAACTGCTCAAGTTCTGTGATATGAAAAGGGTGGACTCGCTGTCCGTGTCGATCATGTAGAGGAAGGGTGTCGCATCGTCGTAGCTATGGTAAGGTCCGTCTGTACTTGCGGCGAGTTCGAAGTGCCAGCTCCCAAACCAGTCTTCCTCGAGCTTGGGCGCCCCGATACCGATGTATACGTCCGACGTGGTGTTGAGCTCGAAGCTGGCGTAGCCGCCATCGAAGAGCACGCCCGTAATGTTGGTGAGGGTATCTTGCGTCGCATCTGGGCCTGGTTGCTTGTTGCGCGGCGATGTAGAGACGTACATGACCAGCTGCGGGTGGTTCTTCCTTGCCTCCTTCGCGTCTCCGTTCGGCATAGGTTGACGGCAGGTGTTGGCGGTCAGCCAGACGCGACTACTGCCAGCCTGTCGCTTTGCCAGCTCAACGTCACCAACATCACCCTCCTTTCCAGGTACTGTCGCATCTTCCAAGCCAGCTTCGTCAGAGGCGTTGTCTGTTCCCCGTGCTTCCAGAGCATCCAAGGGAACATCAAGCACACTTCTTAGGCGCAATTGACCCTTCTCAAACACAAAGTGTAACGTCGTTTCAGGATCGATATCCTTTTCCGTCTTTTCGTTATTCTTCAGCGGCTCCGGCGCGTCGTTCTGCCGTCCAATCAGACTCCGGTCGAGATAGCTGAACTCCGGCTCGTAGCCATCGCTCTCTTCTCGATCGAGTACCCCATCTTCAATGTGTGGGATATCTCCGCTGGTAAAGGCGTGCAGCGCGAGGCTGTCAAGGGCGTCGTGATCGGGCGTCGCGAGAACTTCGGCAGCATACGCGAGAGGTAGGGAAGGCGCCCATAGCGCGATGCAGGCACTGGTACCGACGAGATATGCGAGCAGTCGCGACTGCAGAGGTGAAAGCCTGGGGCGTTGCATTGCCCTCTCCGCTGCCTTAACGATAGAACCGGGGCCGCATGGGTGGGTGGTGGGCGCAGAGGGTGCGCTGGGAGGGGAACGAGCGTCAGGTGGTCGCACGTGTGAAGAGAGCGATGCGCGCAAAGGATGATGTAGGTCGGGACGTCAAAGGGCAAAGAAGGTTTGGCGGGGCGTGGTGGTAGTACTCGGGCTGTCAGGTAAGTGTGGCGCAAGGGTCTGGTCGCGTAACGGCTGAGTCCGCCCTTCAGCCCCCACGTGGGCGGCATCGCTCTCACGCCCGACACCACATCACCATGTTAGAACAAGAAATCACTCATTGGATACGTGCGCAGTAGTCATTTACACGTTGATTGATATATACAGTTCTCACGAATCTGGAATGAGCGAGATGCGATCGCGGCTATATACAGTGCATCTACTTGAGCACCCCCCTTCTAAGAAAAGCCTGGATGAAGAACCTACTTGTCATGTTCGTCGAACGTCTATGCAAGAGCGGGGCTAGCGTTCTGGAGCAACATCGCAAAGTAGTCCTGGAACCAAGTGCCAGCCTCAGGCGCAGGCTTGAACGCAGAGTCCTTGCCGCAGAAGCCATCATAGCGGGCAGCAGATTGGTCAGAAGTACCATCAGACTAAATTCTCGTTAGCCATCGCCTTCTCAGTCATTCACGAATATGTTACATACCTCGCCACCGGGCTTGACCCAGACAAAAGCATCGACAAGCGCGTTGTCGGTGTTGGTGGTAGGACGGATACCGAAGCCAGCACCCTTGACGTTGCACCAGTCTCCCCAGGCCTGCTGGCCAGTAGGTTGCTTGCCGCTGCGGCCAGTGTCGACAATGAAGTGAGCTGGGAAGCCCTCGGCCTTGAGCAGGGGAGCAAAGGCGTTGATGTAGCGCTCCTCGTCGCAGTTCTTGCTTCCCTGGGTGATGGAAGGGCAGGTAGCGATGCGGAAAGCGTTGTAGTTGCTGACGTTGGTAACGATACCACGGACGGCACGGGGCGAGCCAGCCGCCTTGTAGACCTCGGCGTAGAGCTTTGCGGCTGGGCCAATGTTGG